GAAACTTGGCCGCTTACACTAAGGAATGAACAGCGTCTTAAGGTTTTTGAAAATAAAGTATTGCGTAGAATATTCGGACCGAAGAAGGATGAGTTAACCGGAGAGTTCAGACGGTTACACAACGCCGAATTGCGTGAGCTGTATCCGGGTAATATAATTGAGGTAATTTCATCGCGGCGAATCAAATGGGCGTGTAAAGTTGTTGGGCTTAGTAACGAGAGAATTCCTAAAAGGTTATTATTTGCTGTGCCGAATGTTAAGCGTCCGAGGGGTAGACCGAAGCGAAGGTGGGAAGATTGCATTAAAGCCGATCTGAAGGGACTGGATTTGGACGGCGAACGGTGGAGGGAGGTGTGCAATAAGCAATTGGTGGTGTCGGCATCGAACCTTCGGGTTCGCTGAGCCTTTTTATTATTATTATTATTATTGTATTGTATTCTATTTACAATATCTTAATTTTACTATTTATTTGTATTTCTTATGTAACTTCATATTCCTTTTCTCTGCTATACATTTTATTCTAAGATTACCAACTTAGTACTTATGTCACTTTATTTTGATTATGTTTACTCCATTATTTCACACTTTGTAACGGTTATTATTATTTATTTCTTAGTTCTTGTTATTGTCATTATTCTACCCACTTCATTTTACTTTAATATTTGCTTACCTTCATTGTTTTTGTTTCTCATACCTTGTTATATGGTTCCTTTCTTAGCCCCGATGATGGCCTGAACTTCAGATCGAAACGTCGGAATATGTTAAAATAAATTTTATTATTTGTTTTTGCCTTTTTATTTCTTACTAATCACCGCAACCTTCCTTCTCTTCATTCTTCAGGACAGTCAACCATCAACCCACAATTCGAAATATAAATTTATTTTTTTTCTATAATTACAAAATAATAAAATTGACAACACGAGATAATTATAGTCGTCTATAAACTATTTTTGTTCTATATTCACAAAATAATAACATTTATAATTTATTGCTCATTACAATGTTGATGAAATGCTGAATATTTCCCTCATTTACAATAGTATGCAGGTCTTTATGTGTCTGAGATATTTTAATCCATATCTTCAATACTGCTCGCTATCATCTGGTTTCGACATAATGTTTTACCTTTTCGCCTGTCTAACACGGTGTCCCTTTCAGATACAGTTTTAAATAATTGCTTATTACTAGGAGGATGAAGTGCTGAACATTTCCCTCGCTTACAGAATACAGTTCTGATTTTTAGTGTATGAGATATTTTAATCCATATGGAAAAATACTTTAATTAGTCGGCTCGATCCGACTTTACCGCAATGGACCTGACGGCTAAATCTAATTCAATGCCCACAAAAAAGTGCAAAGCGCGCTTTTTTTTTCACGTAAAAAAAGAATCTGCTTTGAAGAAAAATCATTTTCATGCAAAGCATTAAATTTTGAACATTAAGTTTAGACTTTTAAGGAATGCCATTGCACCATTGTAGTTACTTAAGAACAGTGTACGAAATCGAGGCAGAGATAACAAGTGCGATACTGCACCTGAGCAGGAGTCTGGAAGTTGTGCATCGGCGGCTGGGAACACTGTCTGCTCTAAGTCAAAAGCCTCTCTTGAGGAACTACAATTAACTCAAAGAAACTAACTTTGGAGCTAAGTTGGCTCGGGATCAGTGGCTCTCCCCGCCCCCTTGGCTAATGGATTAGGCCTCTGGCTACTCAGCTACATCCGCTGCAATTCAACCTCATCGATTATAAACTTTGCATTTAATTATTTTTGCCTTTGAGATATTTCATTAAAAGAAGAAAAAACATCTCAAGAATCATTAAAAGTCCAACTTGGCTCTTCCTAAACTATACAAAAAAAATATTTTAATTACAAAAATAAAACACCGATTACATAAATCGAGAAATCTTATCCTTCATAAGATAATGTATTTGTATATATTCCTAAACATCTTGGTAGATTGTTAAGGAAATTTAAAAGAATATATAAAATTGATGTAACCATTGGGTACTCTTTCACATCCCAAACAAAACTGAAAATTCTTTCGGAGATTGACATTTACCAATACATGGGACGAAATATACTAGTCAGGAATTGTAATGTATAGTGGACGGCAACCGACTATTGGATTATTCCAAGTTCCGTAGACAATGTTTTTTTTAATTTTTTTTTGTTTATTTATTTAGAAATATAATAATCTGTGACGTGGACAATAATTATAGTGAGATTTTTTAGGCAACGTTTCTTATTATGGCAAAATCAACAGCAACAAACAAAAAATATGTCATAATTATTTTACTCAGTTTGACGCTGTTTAGAATGACAAGGAGAAAATGAAGAATTCTTTACGGTATATCATAGTATTTATGATTGTTAATTAAAAATTGGTGTTATAAAAAAAAAATCAGAAATAAACTTTTTTTTTTCTTAAAGACATATACAACTGTATTAAATAAATACATCTAGTAAATTAGAACATAATGTATATAATGACATGAAAAACACTTGCTGAGTAACTACCGAATGGTAGTACTCTAATAATATGTTTACATTAGGAGATCACGAGGCCATCTTCTTTTCAGACGCCTCGGAGGGTTATCAGAAATTGAAGAGGAAGCAAGGGTAGAAATGAGAGGGTTGGGATGATTCTGAAGTTTATTATGGAAGGATAGGTATCTGGATTGGGCCAGATCTGAAACAAAAGGAACATTAAGGTCATTATGGATGGTTTTATTTGTAACAAAGTAGGGAGCATTGAGGATTTTACGAAGGATTTTGGATTGTAAGGATTGGATACGAGAGGAATTCGATGGTTTAGTGGAGCCCCATAGCTCAACTCCGTAAGTCCAAATAGGCCTTATTATAGTCAAGTATATGAGTCTTTTGTAATTAACTGGAAGATTAGAACGTTTGTCTAGTAAGTGCTGAAATAATCGGAAACGTCGAGCGATTTCTTGTCGTTTCAGTCTAGTATGAGGATTCCAAGTTAGTCGTTTGTCCAGGTGGAGTCCTAGGTATCGGATTCGCTCAACAGAGATAAGTGGAGTATTGTTAAAGGAAACTGGAGGACAGGAAGTTGTTGGTTTACGACGAAGGGTAAAGGTAATTTGGTGGGATTTATTGGAGTTTATTTTAATTCTCCAGTTTTGACACCATTCTTCTAGATTTATGATGTGTGATTGAAGCATTTGGGATGCAATTGCTGGGTCATTATTTACTGATAGGATACATGTGTCATCGGCATACTTGGTGATGACAGTGTTGGGATAGGTAGGGATGTCAGCTGTATAAACTGTATAGAGGGTAGGACCTAGGATACTACCTTGAGGAACACCACCGGACTGGGAAAGAAATAAACCTAAATTCGATAATTTTTATTTATTTCTATCTCTAATGTTTCAGGCTATAGGCCATAAATAAATAAGGCAGTAACGTTTTACTATTAAAGTAAATGTTGTCTGATTTGCCATAGTCGTTCATATCTCATAAACTATTTAATGTTTTATAGTAGATTTAACAGATGTTAATTAGTTTATTTCAAAACATAAACTATTCTACTGGATGCAACTCACACTGACTGATGACCATGCCCATTCTAATTCTGAGAAAGAAATATAGGGCCTTATGTGCCTGCTGACTCTGAGCAGCCATACTCCATGGATCTAGACCGATTTTTCACTGACCTTGAACCCGAGTGAGTCGGTATGAAGGACAATTAGCGCCGGCTATGGAGATAAGGATGGCCTGCCGCTGCACCGTGGAAATCATGATTCGTAGCAACACAGAGGGACAAAAATTATAAGCTAGACAAATTATATCATATTATTAACGTTTAGCAACTTTATTATCATAAAATTCCATAAATGATTGATTCAGCTTTATCCTAAATTATAAATGATTGATTCAGCTTTATTCTATTAAAAAATTCTCGGTCTTCCTTTGGAAAATAAATTATTTTTAAGCATACAAAATCATTACATTTATTTATTTGTTTTTGCACATAGCTTTCGTAAGTTGAGATGGTAAAAAAACTCATTTTCATTTATGCTTATCCCCGTGACAGAAAAATAACCGCCTATCTACCGCTTCCACCACTAAAGCCGATTATCTCAGGGTTTTCCACGCCAGGCATCCTTCTATGGTGCGTCCTCGTGCTTTCCATTTCATTCTGCCCTCCCTTTAAACGAGTGTAGATTTTTCCTGGGTTTCAAACGAGCCAGCATTTGTATCCTCGAGATGATCCTACTTCGGCCTTTATACATTGCTGACATTTATCCTATGGAGAGAGGAGGGAGAAAGAGGGTAGTCCCTGGATCGAACGAATGTCTTGGAAAGTCCCTCTCCCTGTGTTTTTATTTGTTATTTATTTGATAAATAAGTCTGATGCCTTCGTTTTTTTTTTTCATTTCTGCAGCTAATAGAGAACAAACAAGGTTTATAACTTTTTATTAATAAAAGATAATAACATCAAAGAAATAACTTTGTTGAACCATTTCACCTCCTTTCCATGCTTCCATTCATTTTTATTTTTTTCTCCGACGTTTCAGGCAATTTTGCCCTTTTTTCAAGTCGAAATCTTTATATCCTCTATGTTATATTACTTTTTTATATAATTGCTATAAAATCATTCTTCATTCTTTAACTATTAATTATGTAATAATCAAAGAGTATGATGAGTAACTTAAGGAGAAAATTGATCAAAGGTGTTCGTAGGTTGAAAACAAATTTCCAAAAATAAAAATAGTAACATCATCTAATATATTCGGCTAATATACCGTTACGTGCATATTTCATTTGTCTGACAATTAATGGACAACCTAGATATTTTTTAAATACCATACATTCTCATTAAAATCCTTCTATATTGTTACATTGCTTGTGATATTTATACTTTTAAGCAAATTTATTGCAAAATTTTTCACCAAATAAACATTTTAATTATTTGTTGCAGGTATGGATTTTCGGAGACCTATGGTGCTCAGTCTGGCTGGCAGTGGACGTCTGGATGTGCACCGCTTCTATCCTTAACCTCTGCGTCATCTCCTTGGACAGGTACCTGGCAGTGACCCGACCAGTCACCTACCCCAGCATCATGTCGATGAGGAAAGCCAAGCTGCTCATCGCCATGGTTTGGGTCTTCAGCTTCTTTATCTGTCTGCCCCCGCTACTGGGGTGGAGGGATGTCGAAAAACCTGAAGATGCCGAACCTCCTTGCCCTTGGAGGTGTGAACTCACCAAAGACCAGGGCTATGTTCTGTATTCTGCTCTTGGTTCATTCTTCATCCCTATGTTTGTTATGCTATTCTTTTACTGGAGGATTTACATAGCTGCAATTCAAACTACGAAGGCTATCAATCAAGGTTTCAGGACTACGAAAGGTTCCCGCACCCTAGGAAATAGGTTCGACGAGCAGAGACTGACTCTAAGGATACACAGAGGAAGGGGGAGTGTTATGCAGGGGAGTAGTGGTAGTAATTCGACAACGACAACCAATAGTGCCGCCAACAGTGTTGTAAACAGCACTACGAACTCTCCGGGTGGAGGCAAGTCTCCGAGGAGGGAGAGGAGGCACGAGAGAATCAAAATCAGCGTTAGCTATCCGTCCAGTGATGCCATATCTTCAGTTGTCAACAACAATAGCACTGCTGAGAAATCACCTCCTTCACCAACTGGGACATTGTACGCAGTCCATTGTGAAGGGGGTGCAGAAGGTTGTGCCTTATTCCGAAAGGATACCTTGAGAGTGAGTCCAAACCGGAGAGGTCGGCGATCTAACAGTGATGCAGCCCCGGCAAGGCCGAGGCTGCTCGGGGACCCGCTGTCTTCCTCACTGCACAAAGATCTGTCTCCATCTCCAACGTACGAGGAGAACAACAAACCCAAACTGATCTCCAGAATGGGCAAGAGGAATATAAAAGCCCAGGTTAAGAGGTTCAGAATGGAAACGAAAGCAGCCAAGACATTGGGCATCATTGTAGGGGGGTTCATATTATGTTGGCTTCCATTCTTCACTATGTACTTAGTCAGAGCATTTTGTAATTACGACTGCATCCATCCCACTGTTTTCTCTGCATTCTTCTGGTTAGGATATTGCAATTCTGCAATTAATCCTTGTATATACGCCCTGTTCAGTAAAGACTTCAGGTTCGCCTTCAAGAGGATCATCTGCAGGTGCTTGTGCTCGAAACAACCGAGGAGTCGAGGATCTTCGAGGTACCGACGGCGCGGCTCGGACGGCTCGGCGCTGGGGATACGCCGCGGGGAACAGGGCCGCTCAGGAAGCCTCAACAACAACGATCATGGACAGCACCAAAGCGACAGCGACCCCAACAATGACGTTGAATGCAGGTGACCCTCATTTAACCTGCAATAGGAAATAATGGCGACCTCTGCTAACCCGCAGCGAGTATGGTCTTCGGGTTGCGGCGTGTTCTGAGCCTTCCTTTCTCGAGGTTAGAAGCAGTTCGTTATGACAAGCATCTCCGTTAACTTTTATAGTTACGGCTCTCAACCTTCGAGTTCGGAAGGCGAGTAAGCTGCTTTCTCAGAGGTCTTTATGAGAAATTAAGAAAAGTAAAAGTTGAGGATGTTGTTATATAAGTTAAAACGAGTGAGATTTTGCTTATTTGAAGTGATATTCGGGCCTAGAAGTTACATTACAATATGATTCCAGCTTCCCTATTAAAAATGAGTTAATGTTGCATATATAAGGTTAAGGAAAGCATAAGAGATATTTAGCAACACAATTGGCTAAGGTAAGACTGGATTATCTGTATAAATGGATTAGTTGTTATCTATTGTTTTTATTTGTGCCGTGAGTTCAAAAGCACCTTAAACCTTTTCAACCGTAACAGTAATGTTATTTTCGACGGTTATAAATGTAATGGATTCATCTCAAAGAGATTAAATTATAGGAACCTGTTGCTTCAACGCCTGATATGTCTTATTTATAAATGTAAATTAGCTGTGAACCCCAGACTCTCTACATTATATAAGTCACTGAATAATATGTATTTAATTATTATAGTGCATTGTTTCTGTGATTTTATATACAAATAGAAATATCTTTATTGATTTTATTATCTTTAACAAGGCACTGATAGAGCTGTCTCTCATGATCATATTAGGTATGTCTTATTGCTTATTATTTTGCTATCGCCATTGCTTATACTGTTTTACATAAATATAATATCATGTGCATTTATGACTGATCCATTAATTTTAATGGGTTAGTAAGAAACTACAATTAGCTTGAAACGTAAGTTCTTAATATTGATCATGTGCCTACTATCTGTTTATTGAACATTTATTAATTTATTATTAGGTATCGTATTAAGGTTTTTGATATTTCGTTTGTGTTAAATTACCTTGCCTTGGGAAATGACTTATATACCAAATTGTTATTTGAATATCATCATTCTTTTTTTTATATATATTTTATTTATTTCTTCGTTAGCAAGTCATATTTGAATTTGAAGAGAGCTTTATTTACGTAACCTTGATTGCTCTAATGTTAGATGTACAAAACCCTATTATTGTCAGTTTTGGTACGTCGATTCTCAGAAGAACATTGCGTTTGGTTTATTAATATTAATGAGCATAGATTTTTTAATTAATCACTATGAAGCCTGAATTTATGTTGACATTTTCATCTTTGTCATTCGAAAATTCCATTGATTTCTTGTCATGATTATTATACAAATAAAATTTAAAAAAAATAACCGTAAGCACATCAGCTGAAATCGTTATGAACAAACTCATTATTTCTAATATAGATTTATTGATAGATCTACTTCTTAAACGATTGAATGGTTGTATTTAAAATTACTACATAAAATTAATTTTGTTTTATATTTAATTAATGATTATTATTATAAGTAGTATATTTTTGTTTTAATTTAACCTTATAATTCGCGTTTATTATTTAGCTAACCCTTTCTAGTTGCTCTTTCCCATCGAGCGGTCTCGAATTAAACCAACAAATGGTATTAGTTTTTAAACGTTGTCATGATCGTATCTGTAATAATTATAGACCGTTTGAAGCTCTTTTTGTAGTCTACGTAAATCTGAAAAAAGTATTTATATTATTTAACTTTGTTAAATATGAATTATCTGAATTATTCTCATACTTGAATTCCTGCATATTCTGAAATTCTATTTAAGAAATAAAAAGGGAAAAATTAAGCCAAAAAAATCACTATTTTCGAAAATATGAAAAATATTAGTATAATAAAACTCCATAACAACTTTTTTTTATCTTCTTAATGGCTTGCTTGGTACCATTATCAAACAAATTATAAATTTTTTGTATATTATTCTTTTAGGTTTCGTTTTCACCTTTGCTCCAATATGCGGTTCCTCTAAAATGTCATGACAAATGAATCAAAGTTTGTATTTATCCATAATATATGGATATAAATATGTTCTTGGTTCAGCGAAGTAATAACCGATATTATCGGTATTATTTGTAAAGATTATTTGTACGTCTGATTAAATAAAAAATCTCTTAAGATTTTAGCGATACCCGCATCGCCAATGTAATGAAGTATTCACAAAGAAACATTATTCATTTTGTAATTTTTTAAGGTCGTAATTATGAACCAACTAAGATTTATTTTTTTACTTCTTTGTATAGACATCAATACCCTGTACATACTTCGGTGTTCAAAAATCTAGGGAAAAAGCATAAGTATTCTTATAGTGAATCCAGAAAATCTAAACATACATGTAAAAAAACAAAAGAAGTTTATTTCTAAAATTTTAGTTGCAACTCCGTCAAATATTAAATATATATATATATATTAAATATGGTTCTTCTTTTTTTTTGTGTGTTTTTTTTTGGGAGAGGGAACAAGGGAGGTTTGCCACATAATTTTTTTTTTTGTGACAAGATGTCTACTGAATTTCGAATTATTTTATATAAAATCAGATGTATATTGTTTTATTTATTTACTCATTTTTTATCAAAACAACTTCAAATATTGAATTACGACTAAATAATGTAATGAGGACAAAATTGATAAATTTTCTAATATCTAAACTCCTTTTGGTTTCTTAAAATTACGGTTAGCCCACTTAAAACATAAACTCTGGCGGTATTATGTCTTGAGTAATTTTATGTTACTTAAAGTTATAAAATTTATTTATAACAATGAAGGCTTTCCAACCGCTTACTACGGGTCATTTTGGCCCAGACACAATATTTATATTTTAGCTCTAACACAATATTTGAAGCTACAAAACATCAAAATATAATGAATTTTCTATAACAAATTTACATTAAATTTAAAGGAAAAAAACATTAAAAAGTTACAAAAAAAAAAAAAAACGGAATTTAGTTGAGTTTTTGAAGAAATATAAAACATTTTTTTTAATCTTCCTTATTTCAAAACGCACACCTATACCACTACAACTTATGAAGAGTTTTGGGCTTAGTACATTGTTAGTAATTACTTTTTCAAGGCCAACGGTTGTGAATGGACCAGAATCTCGCTCAACCGCCAGGATTTCCCTCTTAATAAATTATATAATTGAGATTACCCACTTTATAAGAGGCTGAGTGTGCCCCAAGAGGGTCTCCCGACACCGAGGTCGATCCACGGACGATCAAAAACTACTTGACAGCCGGATTCGAACCTTGGATCTTGAGGATAGCAGTTCAGTGCCTAATCAACTGAGCTACTCCACTCCCTCACCTTTATATTACTTTTCCGAATTGTACTATTATTATGTTTGTTTGTTTTTAATGTACCACGCAGGAAATACAGCCATTTTTCATAAAATACTCATGTGTCCAATTCTTAATCATGTTAATATTATCTCATTTCTTTTTTCAACTGGAGGTCAGCTCGATTTGGTTCCATCATTGTTAATTTATGCTATCTTAAATCATGCCAAAGATGTTATTATGAGTTTCTTTTTTTCTTTTTATCAAAATATTTTGTACTGTAACTTAATCTTCCATTAGTTTTTTCTATGGCATCGGCGACCTCATTCGTTATAACGTTAAAACTTAACGTAGCGTTATTTTACTAAATCTTATGTACAAGTTATGTATAAAATTATTTTTATTTCTCAAATTGGTAAATGGGCTAAATTAGAAGTATTAATGGCGCATTATAAAGATAAAGGACAGATAAAGATAAAGTTATATCGGCCGGTGGGACAAACAGGGGCTGGTGAAGCCAATATCCCAGCTCTAATATAAACCTGGACCCCTTTCATGCTTTATTCATAGCACTCCTCAGGAGGAATAGCTAAGTTCCCTCTGATGGTATTGTTCCATGCGCTAGTTGTACTTCTAAATACCGCCCCTCCACCAAGGATCTAAGTCCACCTAAGTCACCTGTTTTTTGTCTTAAGTGCTGTTTGAATAATAAATGACTATTTAAGTGCAGCTTAAGCATCTCTCTCCAGGTGGGTTATGCTTTCTTTTTTCAAAAATATCTAAAATTAGAAAGAATATTTACAAATCTTCAGTATATTTGTAGCTGTTTTAATTTAAATAAAAACTAAATACGTCACAAAGTACAACTAAAAAGGAACTAATCAAAGATATTACGATCCGAATAGTATCAGGGGAAAAAAGACAAGATCACATTACCTGAGACAATATGCATAAACTAGAATATAGTTTTCCAAACTGGTCGAGGCGGCAAAAATATTTGGTTTCAACGTTTAATATTTAAGGTCAGAGTTAACTATATGGTAAATAGACTTTTTAAAAATCAATAGTTCTGTATGTACTAGTGTAGGCCCAGAAGTCGAAATTCGACCATTACCATTATTGAACATTTGAGGAAAACATAAATAAATTTGCATGTTTCTAACATCTCTTTCTCTACTCTTATGTATTCGTACATTCACATTTATATGTTCTTCCATAAGAAAACATTCAAGTACGATCTGCGTACCTTTTTAGTTAAAGATAAACACAATTCTTAATTTATCATAATAATTTATGCAGCTTGTTTTCAAGAAAGTATGTTATAATCGTAAATTATAAAGGCTTCAAGGAGATTACTTTAGCCAAGTTTCATTAAAATCGTTACAGTCGTTTTGGAGATAAAGTCTAAAGCGAATCACTTTTATTGGTCGCCACTTCTATAATAGAAGCACTCCTAAATTTTATTGCAAAGTTTTATGCAAATTTCAAAACAATCGGTGAAGAATTTTCAGAGATTAGCTATTTTTAACAAACTAACATTTACATTCTTATTTATATACGCTATTTACAATTTTTTTATTTATTGTGTACCAAACAAAAAATAAAATAGGTCGAGAAACATAGGAAAAAAAGGGATTAAGCTGTTCTGCCTTAGCCTATTTATATAATGATTCATGTCAGAATTA